ATGGTATTAAATATTAATGATAATATAGAGTATGTAAAAAATTAAAATTATCCATATTGACGACATCTTTCTTCAGTGCAGCATTTTTGAATCGTCGCATAAAGTTTTGTGCAATGTGTCCAATGCAATAGACATGGACATAATTGTTTTCTGTCCAACCGCTTCCATTTCTGGAGTATGCACTTTTTATGGCCTCATGACGATCTGAAATGAGGCACAACCCCTCTTGCAGGGTTATGTTCCTCCTTAAGTTTTTCAAAAAAAAAAGAATCATGCATCGCTAGTTTCACCTTCAACTACAGCAAAAGCAATGAGAAATATGTTGTTGCGGCTGTCTTGTGCAACTGCCACTAATAAAGTCCCTTTGTATTTGCCAGTAAAAAATGTACCATCCACTTGAACAATTGGTTTGCAGAAGGAAAAACTATCAATGCATGCCTTGAAGGTCCAAAACAACCTCTTGAAGAACACATTCCTCTCGTCAACAAGCCACCATTTTATGCCGGCTGTGTACTCAATTTTCATATGAAGTCTGGAACATACAGTTGTATTGCAAGCAACTGTCTAGCTAACATTTAGTATTTTTTAACTATAAATAATTTAAGCATTAACATTATTATCTAAAATAATATACTTATTATTTAAATATTTTAAATAGTTTTTAAACATTAACTAAAATAATTTATTTATTATTTAATTATTTTAATTAATTTTTAAAAATTTAATTATTATTGTTTTCTAAAAATATTATTTATTATCTTAAATATGTTAAATAAATTTTAATAAAAATTTAAAATTAATATAATATGTTATTTATTTTAAAATAATATAAAAATTTAAACATAATTCAAATAATAAAACTTATTTTATTAAAATAATATAAAAATATTTATTAAAATATTTTATTATATATATTTATTTTAACAAAATAAAACTATATAAATATAATTAAAATAATAATATTTATATTTTAATTTAAAAAAAAACTAAAACTACCTCAGAATTCGATTCCCTAACGAATAAATAAATTGGTGAAGGGTCTATTCTGGTATTTAAATTTTTGTTTTGTAATATTACGATAAAAAAGTCCTAAATCTCTAGTTTAAAAAAACTTAAAAATATAAAATTAAGAGAATTTATATTTTTTTCTAATTTAAAAATTTCCAAACATAATTAAATATTACATAAATCTTCTTTTCTTTTCAAACAGAATGGCTTTGGTAACGTCATATTCAATCTAGATTATTACGTGTGGAGCCAGAACGACCGTGTCATTAAAATGCAAGGAATTTGCATTTACTGAGTGTGATAATGCTATATTTCGGTGGCTTATATATCAACACAGACCGAAGCCATTATCTTTAAAGGAATGTTTAGTATGACAAATGTTTTAATGTTTTTAAGAAAGTTATGTAATTTCTTTATTCAATAAAAAATGTTTTTTTAACATAAGAGATTTTTAAAATCAACATTTCCTTATGTACACTAGAAGAATATATAAATTAGTAATTTTATTTTGTGTAACAGAATTGTCCTTTAATTGAAGATTATTTCTCTCTCCGAACGAAATTTTTATATGGAAAACATGTTTAAAGAACTTAGTTATCCGAGTTTTGTCGATCAAATTTATAATGTACTTATAAATAAAATTTTATAAGTAAAGTGAACATAATTTTTTGCTATAAAATTTGATTATAAAATTATTATTATTTATTTTAATTTCATAAATTCTTGTAGGAACTTCTTTATAACTTTGTTCCTATTTATTTTAAGGGTTTATTTGGTAAATATAATAAAAAATTATTTCATATTATTTTATTTCTTTTTTAGTGGTTATATATATTGACGAACATTTGATAGGCATGTCATATATAGCTTTATCCGATTATATTTGCTACTAAAATTGTGAGATGTTTAAGTTAGAAATAGATAAAATATGATAATATAATTATCAAATTTATTATTTTAATATGAATCAATTGTATAATAAGATAAAAGTGTATCCCACTCTTATTTTATCATGCTTTTATTTTATATTTTATCATTTATTTTACCATGTTTAACAAAAAAAATCTATAATGAATATAATGGGTTAATAAATAAATTTATTTAATTTAATTTTTAAAACTTTTAAAATAAAATAAAAAATACAAAATATTTCTCTCTCTTTTAATCCTAATTTTTAAATACCTTAATATTAGTAATATATATTGATTAAAAAAATTCATACATATATATATATATATATATATATTTTTTATTTTTTTTTCTTTTGAAACAAATACGAGGGTAAGTTCCGACAGTTAGGTATGGTTATGTCGCACTCTTCTAAACCTCCAGAAACACCAGCTATTAAATGCGGCTTCAACACATGAGGCGTTGTCTCTGAAAGTCTACCACTGGTTGCAAACCTCCATCTTCAATGCTACCTTATGAATCACTTGACTGGCACCTTCCCCACAAAACCCTTAACCCCCTCTTAAACACACCATTGACACCTCTTACTTGCATCGTTCCTGTAGCACCACTGTGGAATCAAAAGCGTCATCAACAATTAATTTTTCAATAAGCATTTATATGTATTTCATGGAATTGTTTTTATATTGGTACAATAAGATTGCATAATTTTAATTTCGTTAAAATAGGCCCCACAACTGATTTATAATTTGACTTTGACTTCATTGGGATTATCTGGAAAGATAATTCCACATAATTGGGTGCGAAATTATTTAATTAGTGTACCCCACCTGCTTTTATAATGCAACAAGAGCAAGAGTGCCCGGTGGAAGCGGAAAAAGGCTACGGACCATAGAGTAGTACCTTTCATTAAGCAAAACAAAGGTGCTTATTTTGGAGCCATTTATGTTTATGCAATTTTCGTTTTAAATACAAATGGTATGATGCGTTTTTATCAGAAAAGGGACCTCGTGTTCATTTTCCTAAACAAGCACAAGGATTTTTCCATTTTAATTTTCACTCTTTGTGGCCGTATAACTATAATCATCTAGTGAAGACATTGATCATGAAGGCACCGTGAATTGTTAATTTATAACACATCGTTACGTGTTTCGAAGCATATTATTAAAAACTGTTAATTTGATTTAAAAATATAAATAACACACTCTTTTAAATACACATTATTTTATTATTAAGTAAAATTTATTTAAAATCATAGAAAGATTATTAGTCATACTTTTAATCTAATGAGTATCACAATTGATTTTAATATTTTTAATTAATATTTAAAAATATATTAACAAAATATTTTGCTAAGCCCGCCCCTTTGACTGGGGTAGATGCCAGTTATATAGAATCGAGTTATATGTCTATATTGGATTTACTTGTTGGATTTCAATTATTGGACTTCTCATCTTGTTTGAATATACTTATTATATTGCACCAAGGAGATTTATCGAACAACGCCAACGCCTTTCTTCATCAAACATAATATTTATTATTAGATAAAAGTTATCCAAAACCTATTAAATTATGTAAAATTTTACATTTTATTTAATTTTTAATTCTTCATTAAATATTTAACTAATAATAAAAATTATATTAAATTAATACTTTATTATTTATTAGTTATTTAAATACTTATACACATATCAAAGAGTGATTAATTAAAATAATATATACTTAATTATTTAATCTTTGTATATGAACAAATATTAGTAAAATTGATAAGTTAGTCGTCTAGTTTTATTTCTTATTTTTTAAATATTTTATTTATTTTGTTTTATTCTGATTTTTTTAAGTGTATTTTAAATATTTTACTATTGCATTTTCTTTCTTATTTTTTATCTATCAATTTAATTATTAAAATCATAAAATGTTAAAATATTCAATTTTTTTATTAAATATTAATATTTTATTAAAGATAAAATATGAAAATAAGGAGTACTCTAACTCATTATATGAGAATTAACAATATATTTTATTAAATATTATGTTAAATAATAAATATAATTAATTATATAATAAAAATAATATTATATACAATATATAATATATTTTTATTTTATTTTTATTTTCAAGATTTTTAATATCGTACATGTTAAGAACTATTAAAGATATTTAAGATAAAAATATTTAATTTAATAATTTTAAGAACTAAATTAAAAATTTAATTTTAAAAAATACGTGTTTATTTGTTATTCTTTTTTAAAAATAAAAAAAAATAAAAATAGAGGCAACTAATGAAAATTAGTATGACAAAAGTATAAAGAAAGTTAATAAAGTTAGTATAATTAATAGTAAAATATTTTTTTAAAATTCATTTAAAAGTTTGAGAATCAAAATAAAATAAAAAAATTAAAATATAAAATAAAAACAAAAAATAAATTTAAAAAATAAAAATTAGAGAATAAAAAAGTTAATATACTAGTTTTGAAAAGAAATATCTTTCAAAAGTGTTAATTTTATTATATTACATTAATGTTCTCAATTTAAATAAAACTATTTCAAAAGTAACTTATAATATATATATATATATATATATATATATATATATATATATATAAAGTATTTCCATCAATTTTGAAGGAAGAAGATGAGAAATTAATAATAGTAAAATTTTATAAAAATAAAAATATTTATTATAATTTTATAATTTTAATATAATAAATATATAAATGTTTTATAATTTTTTTACTATAAATACTTAAATTTAACTAAGGTTGAAGCTAACAAAATTGATAAAAAAAAAGTTAATACATGTTTATTTTAGACATTAATTAAATAATTTTTTATATTTATTTAATAAAAATTAACGTTAATTATTTTGTAAATAAAAGTTAATGTTATAGTAAATAATTAAATATTTGGTTTAATTTAATTTATTTAAAAAATAATTTATTTATAACAAATTAATTGAAAAATTTAAAAGTAGACGATTATATTGTTTCTTTGGAAAAAAATTGATGCAAATATCCATCAAATCCCTCGAGGGAGACTTGACTGAAAAAGAAAAGTGAGTATTCCCAACATTATAAAAACATAGCTGCATTGAAATTACAAAAACATGGAGCAGCCTCAGCCCCAACTCGCAACTGTACTATAATACTATCTCCACCTCATCAAATTCCGAAACAAGAATAAAAAGAAAAAGAAAAAGGCTGATGAAGTCACAAAAGTCTCCTACGATCATGTCGCTCTAGTCTCTCCCACAGAGAAACCATACCATAATGGAAGATTAACAAAGACCGCACGGGAAGTGGCGCAGAAAACACAAATGGAAAACTATTCATACCAATCATACCCAGACTCAGGCGAGTCCTCTCCACGCTCTAGAGAGATCGACTTCGAAAACCCTCCACCATGGGACGATCAAAACTACAAAGCAAAGTTCATGTGCAGCTACGGCGGAAAGATCCAACCACGCTCCCACGACAACCAACTCTCCTACGTCGCCGGCGAAACCAAAATTCTCGCCGTCGATCGCAACATCAAGTTCGCCACCATGCTCTCCAAACTCGCCGCTCTCTGCGACGCCACTCCCCAAGACCTCACCTTCAAGTACCAGCTCCCTGGTGAAGACCTCGACGCTCTCATCTCCGTCACCAACGACGACGACCTTGACCACATGATGCACGAGTACGATCGTCTCTACCGCGCTTCCGCTAGACCCGCCCGCATGCGATTATTTCTCTTTCTCAACGATGCTCTCTCTTCTCCTCCATCTTCTGCCACACCCGACCCGGTTAAACCCAACAACGTCGATTTTCTCTTTGGTTTAGACAAGAGCGTCGCCGCGGCTGCTCCGCCGCCTCAGCCTCCGCCGCAGGCTGTCAAATTTCATGATCCGGTGCCGGAAACCGTGCCGCCGCTGCCGGAGTACCAGTCACGGGTGAACCCTGCTGATCGGGTCACGGGTTCGGATCCGAACGTGAACCACCCTCTCGAGATTCAGAGGCAGTTGCAGCAGGAGTTGCAGCGGTTGCAACTTGCGGAAAACGAGCAAGTTGCGTATCGGAGGAAGAGTGAAAACGGTGTCGTCGGAAATTATCCCGCTGGAGATTATTACGTTCAGAAGATGCCTGAGAAATTTCCCCCGTCGAGTTTTCCGGCCAGCGCGCCGCCACCGTATTGGCCTGAAAAGCATGTTTCCGGCGAGGGTTATCCGCCGGCGGTGTCGGCTGCTTCCGGAGGAGGGGAGCCGCCGGTTTACATGATTCCTGCGCCGGGAACGTTCTATCATGCGCCGGTGGTGCGTCCCGCGGCCACTCAGGGGTATTACACGGTGCAACGAATGCCTTCTGATGCTTACCGTGAAGCGCCGATGTACGGTGGCGTGCCACCCCCTAAAGCGCCGTTTTCGTCGGCCGTTCCGGCGAGCTTTGCACCGGCGCAGCCGGTTAAGGCTCCCGCGTATACAGAAGGGTTCAGTGTGGTTCGGTCAGCTGGGATACCGGATAATACATCCTCTCCATATGCGCAGGTGGCGTACGATAGTGCAACTGGGAGACAGGTTTACTATACTGCGCCGGGCGGCGTAGTGCACGCTCCGCCGTACCAAGGGGTTGTTCAGCCCGTCACCGCGGATATGAGACCCGCTGGGGTGCCGTTGGGTCAGGATGGTAAAGGCATAAGCAAGGTTACTCAAGGTTCAGTGTGATTAAGATTATTGTTATGTTAATTTTAAATTATTACGCCCAATATGCTTTATTTTCCGATGTTCCTAATCCTATTTATATAATAGGAATATTGTTAGCTCTTGGTCTTTCACTTGCTGTTGTTGTACACAAAGTCGATTATGGTTATACTGTGGTTATGTGTAGATCCCTCTCTATGCTAATGCAACTTATAACTTGTGTTTTCCTTTGTTGTGAATTATGCTTGAATTAATTCCCAAGATTTCATTATCTTTTTGCGTATGCGCGGCCAGCACAGCGCTTGTCAAAGCTGAACGTGGTCATCATGCTCAGCCAGCAGAATTGGCATATTCTTCACTCCTCTGGCCAATTTACGTCAAATCCCACAATGTTTTTAGTATGGACTCCATAGATTTTCGGGATAATTTACCTACAAATTATCCTTTAAAAACAAAATTTTCTTTAAGGACCTATGGCCGTGAATTTTTTGTTTTTAATTGTTTGCTAAATTTAGATTGAATTTAGAATATACCCTCATGACTCGCAAGATTCTCAAAACATATTTTGAACGGAGCCAATCCATTCCTATTTTTTTAGTTTAAAAACATATTTAGTAATAGTATCCTGGTTAAATCGATCTGTTCTTATGATCGCATCTGAACTTATAATTAGCTGGCAAATTACTCGAAAAAGTTAATCAAAATGGCAGAGAAAGTAAAAAATTTGTCTTCATCTTGGTCCCCCTTCTAATCAGGGCTTAAGAGTGTGCATCGAAAGCTACACAAGGGAACAAAAGTGTTGCAATCAAAGCTCTGATATTATTGCCAATTAAGATAATTTTGGATAGAACCTTTTTGTTTTCGTTTCCGATGTACAACGAGCGTTTGACGAGTGCGGAGGGGTTTAGTTAGATGCTCCCACCCAAAACCATAATTATTTCATGATGCTAGAAAAAACAAAATGGGCAACCAAAACAGGTGGAATTTTCATTTTCCATACACCAGGTGTGCGCTTTCTCAAGAATCAAACGGCCATGATTGCCCCCACCACATCTTCCTTTGAATTTAAGTATAAGGTGAGTCTCTTTCACCCCAAATTTTCTTGAACTATCATTATGGCTTCACACTAGTACATGTCACTATTTTGATGACATACTTTGAGGCGGCGTGGCGCCAATCTGTGTTGGAAAAGTGTAGGGAGTTGTTGATATATTTTGACTATTTTATACTATAATCCAACCCCTTTTATTTTTTAGGGACCGAGGGGGCAGGGACAAGCCGCTTCCAAGCAAAGCAACTCCTTTAAGAAATATATAAAGAAGGTCAACACTGTGCGTAAAAATTGTTCACACTTATCATCATGAAAATAGCAAATCTATCCATATTATCGAAAATCAAAATTTATATTTTATATTAGACACGCACACAAGCAACCAACCACTAGTTCATGTTCTTAACCCATGATAATCAATCGACCACATTATAATTGTATCCGGTTTATATAACTTTCAATGTGTTGAAATTACATTAAAGTGATCAATAAATTTATACTTATTTTAATATAATTGTAATTTTTTTGTTATAAGTAACGTAATAAATATACGCTTTACTTTTGTATTTATTTTTAAAGAAAAACTAACGTAGTTGAAGAAACTTCACATAACGCGAAAAAAATTAAATATTGTAAATTTTATTATTTGGCTTTGATTTGGTAAGAAAAATATATATTTTCTTAGAATAATACTGTTGAAAATTTAACTTTGCATTAAATGCTGAATCCATATCATTCAGAATGACCTAGCACCGATGGATATTAGTAATATGTTAACATCAGCATGTTTTTTTTTTTATATAAGGTAATATCAGCTTATTTTATTAAATGCAATAAACTAATAATGTGTAAGGGAGCCTGTTTGACGATAAAGCGGAGAAAGACTCCTTTCCAAAGCCAAGAATTTCACTGCCATGAATGTCATACAAAAACCAAACATCCAACAGCCAAACGAATCCCAAATACAACCTCCAATTATGCTCTGTTTGGACTAGGGATTTTCAAACGTGCTAAGTCAAACAATAATCTTCGAAAGTGATATAAGTGAAGAACGTAAGTGGTAGGAGTAAATTTAGGTGCAAATTATAGAGTTATGAAAATGGCTACCTTTTTGGTTTGACCATGGAGGCTTCTTATGGTCAACACTAGTTGCTATGCCAAGTAGGAACACAATGCTTCCTAGATTTAATATGGGCAAAAGTTTTGATGATATTTACAAATATAAACCAATGATGAACTTAATAGAAGAAGAAGAATATAATCTAAGCTTAAACATAACATAATACAGTAATTAATATTAATTTTATTATTTTTATTTTTCTTATTGTATAGCACACACATTCTAGAAATTATGAGCTGTTAATTGTATAGGAATATGCTCTCTTTTTCTCATTATTCCTTTTTATCCTTTTAGTTCATTCATTCTATTTTTTTATATATAAGTTGTAATCATTGCCCTACTAATACACTGAAAAATATATACAAATTTTTTCTCTTTATTCTCCTTTATCTGTTATGGTATCAAGAGCCTTTTAAGGTTTCATGGCCACCACTAATTCTGAAAATGAGAAAAAAATACTCCTCCTTCATTCACTAACCCAAGTCACACATTATCAAGTCCTTTCCACATTCACTCCAGTGAGAGTCCATCTTCTGTTATTGTTACTCTTCCATTAACCACAAACAACTATCAATCATGGTCGAGATCCATTCAAATGGCCTTGATCTTCAAAAATAAAATGGGCTTCCTCATTAGAGCAACCCTTGTTCCACAAACTATAGACCCTTTGTTTCCTCCCTAGGAGCTTTGCAATACGCTTCTCATGTCTTTGCTCCTCAACTAAGTCTCCCCCTCCATAGCCCATACGTCATTTTCTTCAATAATGTCACTGATATATGGGTTGACCTTCGAGAACATTTTTCTCTAGGCAATTTGCTACGTGTAGCTGAGTTGCAAGAAGAAATATACTTTCTCAAACAAGGTTTTACTTTTGTCACAAACTATTATACCAATCTCAAAACTTTGTGGGAGGAATTAGATAACTTTTGCCTTTTAGTCCCTTGTTTATGCTCCGCAAAGGAATTTCACTAACTAGATTTCATTATTTGCTTCCTCAAAGGGGACATGCGTTTCTCCATGATTCGCTCACAAATTCTTCTTTTGGACCCCTTGTCTTCTATAAATTGCGTTTCTCTATCATTATTTAGTATGAATAACAACATTCTACCCCTGCTTCGCCTTCCCTTGATGTCAATCCCTTCGACAACATCGTCTTCGGCAAAGGCCGCAGTGCTCCACAATCTGAAGGAAGCAAATTGACCTCTTCAACTCGCAAATGTGACCATTGTGGCCGCCTCGGTCACACTAGCGGCATTTACTACCAGAAGCCAGTGACTATCATTCCTAAATGCGAACATTGCACTTGCTATGGTCACACGAAGGACGTCTATTACGTCAAGTTTAGATACCACCTGAACATTCAAAGTATCCAAGTCATCCACATCTTCCTAACAAAAGGGATCTTCTAGAGGAAGAGCCATCAACAACACTTTTGTATGATAACAAAAGGAAAACAGTATATGTGTAAATGACGGTGTTCCTGCAATTAACCCTAATACATCATCTTAAGCACTATTACAGTTACTACTATCATCAAAAAAGGGAAATACAAGGATTGTCCCACCACCTAGCTGTCTAAGATGTCTAACATGAATTGTTCCCTTTCATCGTCCAAACTTCAGAGTATGTCCCATATTTACTTGTTTTGCATAAAATTTTTTGCCACCCTCAGCCTCTCATCCAATGTGAACCCAAGGCTCTTTAGAGTCTTTTCAAGGTTCACTTCAGCATTAACTCCTGACATGGCATTTGCAAGGACCTGCAGTGGCTAAGCGTGAAGGCACGTCCTGGGAACTTATCATTCATTTTGTCAACTAGTTTTTGGAAGGCTTCAGTTTGAATTGTTCACCATCAGCCCACAAATCTTCTATTGCTAACTCCTTCATAAAGCATACAAAGTATTTTGTCTCTATTTCAGACCATTGAAGAGGAGGAGGTGCCATTTATGCTTAAATTATAACATTATTGACCAGCAAAATTCATTAATCAATGACAGACATTTCAGGTTATTACAGTTAATGTAATGCAAGACATATAAGATTAAGCAAATTTATGTGTATTTTACAATTTTTATTGTATATTTTGGGTCATCCTACAAGCTACTCCTCCTTTAATTATGATGAAAATTCTGTAGATCCAACCCCTGCAATTTCTACCTTAACCAATAATAGTTTGTATATAATAACATGTTGCACACATATATATAGTAAGATATTGCACATATATATAAAATGTTCTCAAATAATGCAGTTTAACTGATGTACCTATCACTTAATTGTCATTCAATTATGCATAAGAAATAATAAAATTAATAGTTGCACATCTTGTCATTGACTTACACTAAAACTGCCATTTATATTGGCAATAGGAAAGACATAATCTAAAATAAATGGTAAAAATAAATCTCTAACGAGAGTTCACCCACTCTTGGAATATTTCTGTTGCTAAGTTTTCTTGCCACTCAACCCATTCGTTGCTACTTTCCACAAAGTCAATTAGCTCAACATCACCATGCCATCTTCTCTAACATGAATTTTCTCAATTTCAACAGCTGAGGGTTTTTCTGGGTCAACATCCATATTCATTCGAATGAAGTTTTGCATAAGACAACACGCCATTATAATGCGATTTTGTGTCTTGAAGGGATAGAATGATGGACTCTTGAGGATTGTCCATCTCTTCTTTAGCAACCCAAAACAACGGTAATCACATTCCTCGCCGAAGAGTGTTTCTTATTAAAGTATTTCTGGTGATTTCAAGGTGCTCAATTTTCTTGCGCCCACTCCTAAACGTGATAACGGTAACCTTTATATGGTACTAGGAACCCTCTATCATTCGTATAGCCACCATCAACTAGGTAGTAATTGCCTAAAAATGAAAATATGGACAATGATACATTAAGACAACAAAATATGTTATCCTAGAACCCAACCACTTATAGATAGTCATATATACATACCTATTAGTACTTTCAGGCCATTGCACCATGAAATAACATCTTTAAGTATCCTAAAATCTGATGCCGATCCTTTCCATCTACTAAGCACAT